CTCCCCTTGTATCACTTCCCTACATCCTCTTTCTTCCTCTCCCCGTCTCAAGCCCTCCCCTTGTGTACACGACCTCCCCAATCTCCTCCCGTGCAGCACCACTGTTGTCTTGACCCTTTTTCACCCCTCTTGACCCCAACTGCTCTTGCCAACTCACCCCCTCGCCTCCTCAACCCCCTTGCCTCGCGGCCTCACCCCATTTCACACCATGTCAACGCATGTTACCCCATGTCACCCCATGTCACCCCATGTCACCCCATGTCACCCCATGTCACGCCATGTCACGCCATGTCACCCCATCGCACCCCATGTCACCCCATCCCACCCAAAGCTACCCCATCCCATCCCATGCTAGCCACGCACCTCATTGTCGTCCCCCCCTGCCACCACGGGCTGGCCCCCATAGCTGCTGTCCATGCTGTTGGGAGCGCTGCTGCTGCCGTCCTGCCCGCTCGCACCGGGGGAGAGGGAGCAAGAGCGAGAGGTGAAGGGAGTGAGGAGAAGGGATTGCTTGGGAGATGAAATGGGAGAGAGTGGGAGAGAAGGGAGAGAGTGGGAGAGAAGGGAGAGAGTGGGAGAGAAGGGAGAGTGGGAGAGAAGGGAGAGAGTGGGAGAGAAGGGAGAGAGTGGGAGAGAAGGGAGAGAGTGGGAGAGAAGGGAGAGAGTGGGAGAGGAGAAGGGAAAGAGTGGGAGAGGCGAATGGAGTGAGTGGGAGAAGGGAGTGAGTGGGAGAGGCGAAGGGAGTGAGTGGGAGAGGCGAAGGGAGTGAGTGGGAGTGGGTAGTGGTGGCCAGAGGGCTTGATTCAACTGAGCGAGCTGAACCATACGAGGCGAAGCAAGGCGAGGTGCTATGTGCCAATGGGCCCATCTCAGGGAGAGAGGGAGAGGAGAGGCGCGGTGCACCTCAGAGAGGTAGTTGAGCAGCTGGTCAGACTGGAAGAGCGTGGCGAACGCCGATGGGTGGAAGATGGCGCTGCCCACGAATTCATCGCTCACCGCCCGCTCCCGCCCTGCTGTGGGGCTCAGGTCCGGCGTTACTGCGGCGTGGTACGGGCCGAGGCTGTCGTAGGCAGGCAGGTATGCGTGCACCTCGGAGCTGGGCACGGCCGTGCCCCCCCTGCTGTCCGCCAGGCCCAGGCGCAGCATCTACCAGGGGGGGTTGAAGCAGGGACGGTGCGAGCCGGTTCAAGAAACCTTTTTCTTTCTTTCTTTCTTTCTTTCTTTCTTTCTTTCTTTCTTTCTTTCTTTCTTTCTTTCTTTCTGAGCTGGGCACAAGCATGCACTCTCTGGGTACCGCCATGCCTTTCTTGGTGTCCGACAGGAGGCCCAGGTGCAGCATGTGCAGGGGGTTGGGGAGGAAAGGGTGCGATGGGGAGTGTGAAGGTGAAAGAAGACTTGCAATACAGGATGAGGGCTCCAGGCTGCGGAGATTAGCGCAGAGATGGCAGGCAGGAGGGAGGGAGGGAGGAAGGGAGGGAGGGCGTGACGCGAAAGTGAGTGGGATGAAGCAGTCAGGTGGGCTTGACGGCCCGACCAGACGTGGAGGTTCCTTTTGAGGCGCCTCAAATGCCGGACTTTGGGAGAGGCAGAGAGCATGTGTGTGCGTGCATGGAGAGGTGCAGTGACGGGTGGGTTGTGACCCGTGGTGATGCAGAATGCGCGTGAGCTCTGCACGCCTCATGGGGGCAGGTGGTGGCTTGCAGCGCGTGATGCGACAGGCACTTGAAGAAAGAGTGATACCTACCTCAAGACAACCTGAGCCGAAACACAAAGTCACTTGCACCCGGAGAATTGGAAAGGTGAAATTAGAAGAGTAGTAATCTGAATCCAGAGCTATAATCAGCAGAAAGCACAAGAGTGATGAGCTGAAGAATCACCTGAAGCCAGAGCAGGGCGGAGAGGAGGCGCAGGGCGAAGGTGAGGGAGTGGCAGGTGAGCTCCAGCAGCACTGCTGCCGCCACCAGCGGGTGCTGCCTCCAGGGAGACGTTAGCTCCGTGCTCCTGGTGCAGTGCCGTGCGGTGGAGTGGGGTGGGGTGGGGTTGGCAGAAAAAATGGAGGGAGAGGAAAGGGAGAAAGGGAAGGTCGTGATAATCAAGAGGTCGGTGGCGGGTGGAAAGAGAGGAGTGGGGTTGGTGGCGGGTGGAAAGAGACGAGGAAGGTGTGCTATAGGGCAAGCAGGTGAGGCGCTGGGAGTGCAGTGTGTGTGTGTGTGTGTGTGTGTGTGTGTGTGTGTGTGTGTGTGTGTGTGTGTGTGTGTGTGTGTGTGCGTGCGTGCGTGCGTGCGTGCGTGTATGTTTGTTTGTGTGTGCGGCTCAAGATCATACAACACACGTGGAAGGTCAACGGCCAGAGGGTGTGGTGTGGGGAACAAGTGTAGGCGGGCAGAAAGAGGGTTGACAGGAGAGGATTCGGAGGAGAAAGCAGTGGGCGTAGGGAGGTACAGCTGGGCGTAGGGAGGTACAGCTGGGCGTAGGGAGGTACAGCTGGGCGTAGGGAGGTACAGCTGGGCGTAGGGAGGTACAGCTGGGCGGAGAAGTGGGGGGCTGTGAGATAAGAGCGGGAGAGGGCAGCAGATGTGGGGGGCGAAGAGGGCACCAGATGTGGGGGGCGAAGAGGGCGAGCCAGAGGGAGTCGAGGAGCAGCATGAGCAGCAGCAGCGCGGCATACGTGCGCCCCAGCGCCTGGTACCCGCTGGCGATGGCCACCAGCCCGAACAGCGCCACTCCCACGTCCGCCACGATCACCCCCGTGTAGGTGGGACCCACCGTGCCTAACAGGCCAATGAACGCCTGTGAGGGGGCGGAGGGGTGTGGAGATGGAGGGAGGTGGAGGGTTTGCGATGGGCAGCGGGCCAACCAGCGCCACTCCCACGTCCGCCACTCTCACTCCCGTGCACGTTGAACCTACTGTGCCGTACAGCCCTATGAACGCCTGCAGGGGAGAGGGGGGCAAGGAGGGGGGGGAGTAAAGGTTCTGCCACTATCACCCCCGTGTACGTGGGGCCTACTGTGCCCTGTAGCCCTATGAACGCCTCAAACGACCGGGGGGGGGGGGGGGAGAGTAGGAAGAGTAAAGGGTCTGCCTGGCAGTATCACCCCCGTGTATGTGGGGCCCACCCACCCAGCCACCCAGCGTGCCCAGTAGCCCTATGAACCAATGCATGCTCTCCGTGTACGTGGGTGGGTGGCTGGGTGGGACCCACCCAGCATGCCCAGTAGCGCCGTGAACGCGACGCGTGAGGAAAGGGGGGCGGCGAGGAGGGAGAGTGAAGTTGTGCGACCACCTGTGTGCGACCCTGTGGGCGACCCTGTGGGCGACCCTGTGCGACGTGACCCACCGCAGCCAGTAGCCCTAAGCGCAGAGGAGGGGGGCGGGGAAGAGGCGAGGCGAGGCGAGGAGTGGGTGAGCATAGTAGCCCCTGGCGTGGCGCCTAGCAGCGGTATGAGGGGGGGGGAAGAGGGGCGGGGAGGGGCTGATGGTGTGATGTGGCACGGCCATGTGCGTGCATGTGTTTTGTGTGTGTGTGTGTGTGAGTGTGTGTGTGTGTGTGTGTGTGTGTGTGTGTGTGTGTGTGTGTGTGTGAGTGTGTGTGTGTGTGTGTGCAAGCCCGTGCTCGCACACGTGCTGCCGCGCGCATTCATTCGACAGGGAGGCAGGACGCGGGGTGCGGTTGGCGGGTGGTGGAATGAATGAATGAAGGACGCACAGAGGAGTGTGGCGTGGTGGCGAGGAGACGGCGACGGCGGATGTGGACGGCAGAGTGACAGCACGTGGGACGGGGAGAGGGAGGGGACCAGGGGAGGGGAAGGTGAGGGGGATGAGGGAGAAGGTGGGGGGGATGAGGGGGAAGGTGGGGAATCTGCAGCAAGTGGAAGCTCTCTCTGCCTACAGCGGCTTACCATGATCGTGCCTCCTCACTCCTGCTAGTAACGTGGAATGGAACTTTCCTAAAACGAAAGCGGGTTACCAGGTTACCTGCAGGTAGAGCAGCGTGAGTGCGGCGTTCTGCACGTCCTCGTAGCTGTCGAGCCACGACAGAAAGAAGCCCTCCACAAACAGACGGGGCATGCCGCCCCTCCCAGGCCTCCCCCAACTTCCCCTATTCACTGTCCGCCTCTAGTCCGCCCTTTATCTAATCTCGTTTGTCACGATGCCGCCCAGACTCTTCTAGTCTCCTAGCGTCACACGGGCATGCCGCCCCGTCCCGCGGCCCCCCTCGCTGTTCGCCTGTCCCCACTCCGACTCCGCTCGCGTCCTCTCGCCGCTACGCGTCGCTAATGCTCTCAATGCCGCTCTACGGCGCGTTCACGCCTCTAACTGATCTTCATCGCGCTACGTGCTCCTCTTGAATGCCTACAATGCTCTCGCTGGCCGCCCACGCATGGCAGCGAGTGCGGGTAGCTAGAACCTGTCTCTAGGCTCCCCCACTTCCGATTAAATCGGATTCGCACGTGGCGGCGTTCAACCTAGCGGAGTCTGCCTAGCTAAAAATTTGAGTAGTTAAATAAAGACTCGAAAGCGTGTTCAGTGTGCCAGTGGTCTAGTGGTAGAATAGCACCCTGCCATCAGCTCGGTGCAGACCCGGGTTCGATTCCCGGCTGGCACATGAAGTCATTTTGTTGCCTCTTCCGGTACTCGCGAAATCTCCACTTTTTCGTTACTGAGTTTCGCATTCCATCTTACTTTCGCCATCGCGATTTGTCTGTTGAAACTACAGCACACAGGGCGCACCCACCAGGGCGCACTTTCTTTCTTTCGTGTCCTTGAAAAATCTGGAGACCAGATGCGTGTGCAACAAGCGGCTGGTTTCCAACTTTCGGGTCGCGACGAACCCCTTTAACACCGACGAATGTACACGCCCTCAACCCTACTTCTGCGCCTTCTCCAACCTTAGGTCACCGTAAGAAGTGTCGGAAGTTCGACGTGCCGTTGTGCCGTACACGACTCACACCACTACTAGGTCCTTCATCGCACCTGGTCTGACCAATCAGGGCCTCCGATGGTCGCAGCAGCAGCGGCAGCGGCGAGTGCTGCGGTGACCGTGACTGGTGTCGCTCCGCACTCGCCCGCGCAGTCGCACGCCGTCGCACGGATCATCGCATTGCGGTCGCCGACTAACGGCGGCGTGCGCCACGTTCAACTGCGGGGCGATGTTTCCACGATGGGCGCCGCACGGTCCGCCTCCGGCGCCATGCGGCGGTGCATGCAGCCGCGCCGACTGCTGCCGCGTGCGAGCCTAGAGCACCGCGACGTGGCAGGTGAGTGACGTGGCAGGTGAGTGACGTGCCCTGCAGATGTGCGCGATTCTTTGGATTTTCCGCCCGAGCGCTTGCCTCGTAATAAGCCCTCCTCTCGCTCCTGTCCCGCCCTTTCCTCCCACCTCTCCGTGCGCCCTCCGCCCGCCGCCGCTCTCCTCAATTCCCCCGACCGCTCCACGCACGCGAGCGCACCACCTCCACCCACTTGTGCCACGCCGTGCTGCCATTCCCCTTTCCCCTGCGCCCCACTGCCTTCCCAGCAGCGCCGCCTGCTGCTGGCAAGTCGCTTGCACCTCCGCTCTGTTCCCCCACTCCCACACCTCACCCTCCCCGGCGTCCCCCCATCGCCTCCCCTTCCCCTCCCCCCTTAGCGCCGTCAGCAAAAAATGCTACAGCCGCGGCGCCCTTCTCGCAGGGCGGCTTCGAGCAGCTGCTGCTGGACCTGCAGGCCTCCATCTGTCACGAGGTGCGGTGAGACGAGGTGATGAGGTGCGGTGCGGTGCGGTGAGATGAGGTGATGAGGTGCGGTGCGGTGAGATGAGGTGATGAGGTGATGAGGTGATGAGGTGAGGTGTGGTGAGGAGGTGAGATGCGATGGCGGCGACAGCCAGTGTTTGTTCCATCGCCCTCGCCTGCCCTGCACCTTCACACACCCCTTTGAAATTCACTGAAAGCGCGAATTCTGGACTGGACCACACTGGCCTCGAGAGAAGAGAGGAACCCTTGGTGTTATCAGCTAAACCACGCCAGGGATGATTCAAATTGGGAGGGGAGGGGGGAGTGGAGGAGGTGGAGGGTGCAGCGGATTAGGGTGAGAGAGGGCGGCCATTTGAGAATGAGCTTCAGTCACGCGGCCCACCCGAGTCACGCAGATTTCTGTGTCGAACCACGCGGTTTGGGAAACTTCCGAGTCGAACGGGTGGAATCGGTGGGAGACGGCACGGCACCAATGGTGGAAGGCACAGCCGCGGTTCGGTTGGAGGTGCGACGGTTAGGTTGCACATTTCACATGCATGCCGTGTGAGCATTTTCCTCCACTGCGCCTCCACGGTCCCGCCCCTCTCCCCCCCATGTGCTTTAGTCAGCAGCGCGGGACGGCAGTGGCAAGGCGTTCATAGAGGACCGGTGGGAGCGCGAGCCTGACAACCCAGCAGCGGGGTACGGCATCACGCGCGTGCTGGAGGGCGGACTCGTGCTCGAGAAGGCCGCTGCCAACGTCTCCATCGTTAGAGGCCAGCTGACTGAGGCGCGCGCCAAGGTGAGCCATGGGCTGGGCACGGCTGGCAGCAAGGTGAAAAGCAAAATGACATGGTTTTTTCCACCTTGGCTTCTAGGGCCAGCAGGTGGCAGCAGGTTAATGTTATGTTAGTGTCACGTCACGAGGGTAAGTACGTGGTGTGGCAGGTTGCTGTGAATGTGTCCATTGTGAGAACTCAGACGCCACCTGTCTCATCTGATGTGCGTGCCAAGGTGAGGGACGGGCCACATGGCTGGCAGCGCCGTGAGTGGCTGGCAGCGCCGTGAGTGGGTGGCAGCGCCGTGAGTAGGTGGGTGGCAGGGCCGTGAGTAGGTGGGTGGGTGGCAGGGCCAGCAGGTGGCGGCAGAAGAGAAGAAGATCATGGCTCGCTTGCGCTCACTAAGGCGGGCACGTGCTGCCGACCATACACACCACACCATGCCTCGCTCTCCTCTTCCACCGTCCTTTCCCAATGCTCTCATCCCACTGTCATAACCCCTGGTATTCCTCTTCCAATGGACCTTGTATTGATACGGCACTGTGTACGCACAAGGCAAGGCAATGGTAAGTACGTCAGTCTTGCCAACGTCTGGAGCCCTCCTGCTGTAGCCTACGGGATCTCTCCACTCCAGCACTGCAAATCCACAACCCTTCTCAGGGGACAGGGCCGCTTCGGGTCCCCCGATAGGCTGATTTTCCGCGTGGGCTGCGAGGTGGGACTTCACAAGGAAGCCCACCGCGTGCCGTCTCTGTACCGCCACTGCCCACCTCTGCCTCAACTGATGGAGTAGCTTGGCGCCTTGGACAGCACAGGGGTCACTCACCGTCAGCGTCAGCGGTGAAGAGGCGCCGTGCCCATGTCCACCATGTCCTCACCCCATGTCCGCCATGTCCTCATCCCATGTCCGCCATGCCCTCATCCCCCTATCATACCTCCTTCTCTTCCTCTTCTCATTTCCTCTCTTTCCACAGGGCCATTAGTGCCTGCCAAGGCTGTGAGTGCCTGCCAAGGCTGTGAGTGCCCGCCAAGGCTGTGAGTGCCTGGCAAGGTTGTAAGCTTCTGCTGCCACCCAACAGCCTCTTTGCTGTTCTACCCTTTCCCCCCTTTCTTCCCCTCACATAACCCCCTCCCTTCCTCCCGCAGGCCATGAGTGCGAGGCAGGGCAGGCAGCTGGCAGCGGGGACGGGGTACTTCGCGGGGGCGCTGTCGCTGGTGTTCCACTCCGCGCACCCGCTCATCCCCACCTTCCGATCTGACATCCGCTACTTCCAGGTACCTTGCCCTTCCACCTGCGCCCATCCGCTACTTGCAGGCAGCTACTATCTCTCCCACCTGCACGCTGCTACTATCTCTCCCATCTGCACGCTGCTACTTCCACCTACAAGCACAATGAAGCTGCGCCCTCCCCCTTCCAGCTGCGCCCTCCCCCTTCCAGCTGCACCTCACTTCCGGCTGCGCCCCCCCCCCTCTTCCAGGCGTGCAGGCACTGCTATTTGGGAGTCACTTTTGAGGAATTTCAAAAGTAATTGAAATTAGCAGATTCACAAATCCTGCATTTGTTAACATTCTCGAAGTTATCAGCTCGGTTACAAAACAGAAGGGAAGGGAGTCCGTTTGACCTTGGGAACCATCTGTCCGCGCGGGTCCAGGATGATCTCACTAGTGGACAGTTGGGAAACAGAGAAATGTACATTAAGTAGTTGAGTTGTTTCAAGGGTGGAGTGAGTATTTTTGGGAGACAGGTGGCTAGCACAATCGCATGCACCAATCGCATGCACAATCCAGCACTTCCACCCATCCCCGTGGCACACATTGACAAGTGTGTGGCCCATCCCCGTGGCACACATTGACAAGTGTGTGGCCCATCCCCGTGGCACACATTGACAAGTGTGTGGCCCATCCCCGTGGCACACATTGACAAGTGTGTGGCCCATCCCCGTGGCACACATTGACAAGTGTGTGGCCCATCCCCGTGGCACACATTGACAAGTGTGTGGCCCATCCCCGTGGCACACATTGACAAGTGTGTGGCCCATCCCCGTGGCACACATTGACAAGTGTGTGGCCCATCCCCGTGGCACACATTGACAAGTGTGTGGCCCATCCCCGTGGCACACATTGACAAGTGTGTGGCCCATCCCCGTGGCACACATTGACAAGTGTGTGGCCCATCCCCGTGGCACACATTGACAAGTGTGTGGCCCATCCCCGTGGCACACATTGACAAGTGTGTGGCCCATCCCCGTGGCACTCATTGACAAGTGTGTGGCCCATCCCCGTGGCACTCATTGACAAGTGTGTGGCCCATCCCCGTGGCACTCATTGACAAGTGTGTGGCCCAAACAAGGGGACTAGTATTCTGCTTCTCGTCTTTCTCGTTTGTACATTCATGCTAGTGACTAGCTGCTGGGTGAGTGACTAGCTGCTGGGTAAGTGATTAGCTGCTGGGTGAGTGACTAGCTGCTGGGTGAGTGACTGAGGCAGGCAAGCAGGCAATGCAGAGAGAAGCAATGAAGAAGCAATGAAGAAGCAAGGGAGGGAGTGGCCGGGTGAAGGATTGAAACTCCTTTGTCACACCGGTGGTTGTCACACCGGCTCTGCCACATGTGCCCGCATGCCACATGTGCCTGCATGCCACATGTGCCCGCATGCCGCAGCAGCCATGCCATGCCATGTCCTTTCGACCTCCTCCTCGCCTCCCCTTGCCTTCTCCCTCATCTCTCTCCCTCTCTCCCTCCGCCTGTCCACCTCTCCAGGTGGACGGGCAGAACGGCTGGTTTGGTGGAGGGGCCGACCTCACGCCCTCATGTGAGTGCACGCCACCCGCTCATGTGAGTGCACGCCACCCGCTCATGTGAGTGCACGCCACCCACTCATGTGACCCCCATGTCGCCACTGTTCCATCCTCCAGCAGTCCGCACTTCATTTCACAACCACACACTCACACCCTCTCTCTCACCCTCTCTCTCACCCTCTCTCTCACCCTCTCTCTCACCCTCTCTCTCACCCTCTCTCTCACCCTCTCTCTCACCCTCTCTCTCACCCTCCTTCCCTACCACCCCTCAGCCCCTTCTCGTCCCTCCTCATCCCATCTCCTCCCCCGCCTTATCCCACACCTCCTCCCATGTCATCTCTCCTCATCCCATCTCCTCCCCCACCTTATCCCACACCTCCTCCCATGTCATCTCTCCTCATCCCATCTCCTCCCCCGCCTTATCCCACACCTCCTCCCATGTCATCTCTCCTCATCCCATCTCCTCCCCACCTTATCCCACACCTCCTCCCATGTCATCTCTCCTCATCCCATCTCCTCCCCCACCTTATCCCACACCTCCTCCCATGTCATCTCTCCTCATCCCATCTCCTCCCCCACCTTATCCCACACCTCCTCCCATATCAACTCTCCTCATCCCATCTCTCCCCCGCCTTATCCCACACCTCCTCCCATGTCATCTCTCCTCATCCCATCTCCTCCCCCACCTTATCCCACACCTCCTCCCATGTCATCTCTCCTCATCCCATCTCCTCCCCCGCCTTATCCCACACCTCCTCCCATGTCATCTCTCCTCATCCCATCTCCTCCCCCACCTTATCCCACACCTCCTCCCATGTCATCTCTCCTCATCCCATCTCCTCCCCCACCTTATCCCACACCTCCTCCCATGTCATCTCTCCTCATCCCATCTCCTCCCCCACCTTATCCCACACCTCCTCCCATGTCATCTCTCCTCATCCCATCTCCTCCCCCACCTTATCCCACACCTCCTCCCATGTCATCTCTCCTCATCCCATCTCCTCCCCCACCTTATCCCACACCTCCTCCCATATCAACTCTCCTCATCCCATCTCCTCCCCCGCCTTATCCCACACCTCCTCCCATGTCATCTCTCCTCATCCCATCTCCTCCCCCACCTTATCCCACACCTCCTCCCATGTCATCTCTCCTCATCCCATCTCCTCCCCCGCCTTATCCCACACCTCCTCCCATGTCATCTCTCCTCATCCCATCTCCTCCCCCCACCTTATCCCACACCTCCTCCCATGTCATCTCTCCTCATCCCATCTCCTCCCCCGCCTTATCCCACACCTCCTCCCATGTCATCTCTCCTCATCCCATCTCCTCCCCCGCCGTATCCCACACCTCCTCCCATGTCATCTCTCCTCATCCCATCTCCTCCCCCCACCTTATCCCACACCTCCTCCCATGTCATCTCTCCTCATCCCATCTCCTCCCCCACCTTATCCCACACCTCCTCCCATGTCATCTCTCCTCATCCCATCTCCTCCCCCGCCTTATCCCACACCTCCTCCCATGTCATCTCTCCTCATCCCATCTCCTCCCCCACCTTATCCCACACCTCCTCCCATGTCATCTCTCCTCATCCCATCTCCTCCCCCACCTTATCCCACACCTCCTCCCATGTCAACTCTCCTCATCCCATCTCCTCCCCCGCCTTATCCCACACCTCCTCCCATGTCATCTCTCCTCATCCCATCTCCTCCCCCACCTTATCCCACACCTCCTCCCATGTCATCTCTCCTCATCCCATCTCCTCCCCCACCTTATCCCACACCTCCTCCCATATCAACTCTCCTCATCCCATCTCCTCCCCCGCCTTATCCCACACCTCCTCCCATGTCATCTCTCCTCATCCCATCTCCTCCCCCACCTTATCCCACACCTCCTCCCATGTCATCTCTCCTCATCCCATCTCCTCCCCCGCCTTATCCCACACCTCCTCCCATGTCATCTCTCCTCATCCCATCTCCTCCCCCACCTTATCCCACACCTCCTCCCATGTCATCTCTCCTCATCCCATCTCCTCCCCCACCTTATCCCACACCTCCTCCCATGTCATCTCTCCTCATCCCATCTCCTCCCCCCCCGCCTTATCCCACACCTCCTCCCATGTCATCTCTCCTCATCCCATCTCCTCCCCCGCCTTATCCCACACCTCCTCCCATGTCATCTCTCCTCATCCCATCTCCTCCCCCGCCTTATCCCACACCTCCTCCCATGTCATCTCTCCTCATCCCATCTCCTCCCCCACCTTATCCCACACCTCCTCCCATGTCAACTCTCCTCATCCCATCTCCTCCCCCGCCTTATCCCACACCTCCTCCCATGTCATCTCTCCTCATCCCATCTCCTCCCCCACCTTATCCCACACCTCCTCCCATGTCAACTCTCCTCATCCCATCTCCTCCCCCACCTTATCCCACACCTCCTCCCATGTCATCTCTCCTCATCCCATCTCCTCCCCCACCTTATCCCACACCTCCTCCCATGTCAACTCTCCTCATCCCATCTCCTCCCCCCCGCCTTATCCCACACCTCCTCCCATGTCATCTCTCCTCATCCCATCTCCTCCCCCACCTTATCCCACACCTCCTCCCATGTCATCTCTCCTCATCCCATCTCCTCCCCCACCTTATCCCACACCTCCTCCCATGTCATCTCTCCTCATCCCATCTCCTCCCCCCCACCTTATCCCACACCTCCTCCCATGTCATCTCTCCTCATCCCATCTCCTCCCCCCCGCCTTATCCCACACCTCCTCCCATGTCATCTCTCCTCATCCCATCTCCTCCCCCGCCTTATCCCACACCTCCTCCCATGTCATCTCTCCTCATCCCATCTCCTCCCCCGCCTTATCCCACACCTCCTCCCATGTCATCTCTCCTCATCCCATCTCCTCCCCCACCTTATCCCACACCTCCTCCCATGTCAACTCTCCTCATCCCATCTCCTCCCCCGCGCCTTATCCCACACCTCCTCCCATGTCATCTCTCCTCATCCCATCTCCTCCCCCACCTTATCCCACACCTCCTCCCATGTCAACTCTCCTCATCCCATCTCCTCCCCCCCTTATCCCACACCTCCTCCCATGTCATCTCTCCTCATCCCATCTCCTCCCCCCCTTATCCCACACCTCCTCCCATGTCAACTCTCCTCATCCCATCTCCTCCCCCGCCTTATCCCACACCTCCTCCCATGTCATCTCTCTCCTCATCCCATCTCCTCCCCCACCTTATCCCACACCTCCTCCCATGTCAACTCTCTCCTCATCCCATCTCCTCCCCCACCTTATCCCACACCTCCTCCCATGTCATCTCTCCTCATCCCATCTCCTCCCCCACCTTATCCCACACCTCCTCCCATGTCAACTCTCCTCATCCCATCTCCTCCCCCGCCTTATCCCACACCTCCTCCCATGTCATCTCTCCTCATCCCATCTCCTCCCCCACCTTATCCCACACCTCCTCCCATGTCAACTCTCCTCATCCCATCTCCTCCCCACCTTATCCCACACCTCCTCCCATGTCATCTCTCCTCATCCCATCTCCTCCCCCACCTTATCCCCACCTCCTCCCATGTCATCTCTCCTCATCCCATCTCCTCCCCCCCTTATCCCACACCTCCTCCCATGTCATCTCTCCTCATCCCATCTCCTCCCCCACCTTATCCCACACCTCCTCCCATGTCATCTCTCCTCATCCCATCTCCTCCCCCACCTTATCCCACACCTCCTCCCATGTCATCTCTCCTCATCCCATCTCCTCCCCCACCTTATCCCACACCTCCTCCCATGTCATCTCTCCTCATCCCATCTCCTCCCCCACCTTATCCCACACCTCCTCCCATATCATCTCTCCTCATCCCATCTCCTCCCCCCCTTATCCCACACCTCCTCCCATATCAACTCTCCTCATCCCATCTCCTCCCCCGCCTTATCCCACACCTCCTCCCATGTCATCTCTCCTCATCCCATCTCCTCCCCCGCCTTATCCCACACCTCCTCCCATGTCATCTCTCCTCATCCCATCTCCTCCCCCCCTTATCCCACACCTCCTCCCATGTCAACTCTCCTCATCCCATCTCCTCCCCCGCCTTATCCCACACCTCCTCCCATGTCATCTCTCCTCATCCCATCTCCTCCCCCACCTTATCCCACACCTCCTCCCATGTCAACTCTCCTCATCCCATCTCCTCCCCCCACCTTATCCCACACCTCCTCCCATGTCATCTCTCCTCATCCCATCTCCTCCCCCACCTTATCCCACACCTCCTCCCATGTCAACTCTCCTCATCCCATCTCCTCCCCCGCCTTATCCCACACCTCCTCCCATGTCATCTCTCCTCATCCCATCTCCTCCCCCCCTTATCCCACACCTCCTCCCATGTCAACTCTCCTCATCCCATCTCCTCCCCCACCTTATCCCACACCTCCTCCCATGTCATCTCTCCTCATCCCATCTCCTCCCCCACCTTATCCCACACCTCCTCCCATGTCAACTCTCCTCATCCCATCTCCTCCCCCGCCTTATCCCACACCTCCTCCCATGTCATCTCTCCTCATCCCATCTCCTCCCCCACCTTATCCCACACCTCCTCCCATGTCAACTCTCCCATCCCATCTCCTCCCCCACCTTATCCCACACCTCCTCCCATGTCATCTCTCCTCATCCCATCTCCTCCCCCACCTTATCCCACACCTCCTCCCATGTCATCTCTCCTCATCCCATCTCCTCCCCCCCTTATCCCACACCTCCTCCCATGTCATCTCTCCTCATCCCATCTCCTCCCCCGCCTTATCCCACACCTCCTCCCATGTCATCTCTCCTCATCCCATCTCCTCCCCCCCTTATCCCACACCTCCTCCCATGTCATCTCTCCTCATCCCATCTCCTCCCCCCCTTATCCCACACCTCCTCCCATGTCATCTCTCCTCATCCCATCTCCTCCCCCACCTTATCCCACACCTCCTCCCATGTCATCTCTCCTCATCCCATCTCCTCCCCCACCT